TGATTTCCCATGTCCTCGGGCAATCCTGAACCTTTTTAAACTTGAGTTCTCTCTGAAAAAGGAAGAAGCAACTGAAACAGCCCCGGAGAAAGCTTCATCTGTGGAGGTTTGTTCCTTATCATTTATCAGCAGAGAACAGACATGTCTCCATTTGTCTATTTGCCTGGTAATCTGCTTTGATGACTATCCTGGTTTTGCTGGAAAGTTTGTAAAACTTTCATTCCCTTCCTATACTGAACATTCATTCGTGTGTTCATTCATTCATTGGCTGCACAAACATGGACCAGAAGTCTGTGTCAGGACTTGTGCTACAAGCTGGGGATGCAAGATGGATGAGACACAGCTGCTCCCTAGGGGGCTCAGGTCCTCTGGGAAAAGACTCACAGAATTCACAAGAGCACTATGTGTGTCATGGCCAAGTCCTCCAAACCAAAGAGCTTTCGAGCTGCCAGGACACCATGATGCAATCTGAGCATTGTGCAGACAGGAAAAATGAGACCCAGAGAGAAGCTTGTTTGTTCACTCCCTCATTCAACAAGTATTTGGCAGCCAGGACACGAGGGACTACCTGGAAGAGGCTTGCCAATGATTGCCTAAGATGGAAATGCAGAGAGCTGATTACAGCTCCGTCAGAGGTGGCCTACGCAGGGTGAATGGGGAGCCTACAGGAGGCACAGAAGGCGGGGCGTTCCTGGAGGGCTTCCTGGAGGGCTTCCCGGAGTAGGCGGTTCCCGAGCTGAGACTGGAACATGGATCGGGAAGGAGTGTGGAAAGGAGTTTCAGCAGAGGGAAGAGTGTGTTCGAGGTCGTGGAGGCAGGGCGAGCCAACACCACTCCAGACAGCTGCCTACCTGTGCAGCTCTTGGAGCATGAGGGCGCATGTGTGTGTGTGTCGTGATGAGACCACCACCTGTGGCAGGTCCACCAAGCTGGCTGGGGGTGCGGGAGGTGGGGGGCGGTGGCAGGACTCCAGCCCCACCCGCAGCCCCACACTCACCTAGAATCGAGTGCTTTCCAAGGCGCTGGGGAGATTCAGCAGGTCTGCATGGCCCTGGACACAAAAGTCTGTCCCTGCGGGAGGACGGTGACAGGTTGGGCCTCTGGGATTAACACAGAGTCTACCGACGCTGCCCTTGGCCCCATGTCCACTCTCAGCACAACCAATAATAAGGAAAACAACCACCCCTAAGTTCAGGTTGTGTGGAAATTCATGCACAGAGAAGAAGGAGTAATGGAGCAGGTGCGATGCTTTGTGCTTGGGGCCGGTGTCCTGGGAGTGAGGCTCGATTCCACCACCGCACTCTCCTGAGTGTCAGCTTCCTCCTTCACGTTCCTCACCGCTCAAGATGAGGTCATGAAGATCAAATCAAGTGATGCAGGGGCACAGTCTCTAAAACCGGTAAAGGGCTGACCTAATTGGAACCATACTCCACCCTCTCCGGGCTTCATTCCTCCACCAGAGGACACCTGCTTCCTGCCAGGCACTGTGCCCGGGAACACAGATGCCCGAGTCATAGTTCTCGCTTGCAGGGAGCTTGCACTACAAAACTTTAAAATGCTGTGATTCCTTAGGCACTTCAGCGATAGTGTTCTTTAAATTGTAATGCCCAGTTCTTCAGGAAAGCCAATAGAACTTTCCGCTTTCATGCAGCATCAACAGAAAAGTTAATGTGTACTCCGCAGAAAGCGTATTTGCAAAACTTTTGCAATTCAAATGCCTTGTCCTTCCTGAGCTGGCTTGGTGGCAGGGATGGTACAAAGGTGGCCTGCGTACTGAGTGCAGAGACAGGGTTTCCATGGGCATGAGATTCATTGTATTCATCCATCCATCCATCCATTCACTATGGAGTACCCACTGCATGCTGAGGATGCACTGAATACTGGAGAATAAGACTTGATCCTGCCCTCAAGGATTTTTTTGTTTCAAATCTTTGTTATGGAAGAATTCAAATAAATACAGAAAACAGAGAGAATGGCATAATGAACCTCACCTACCTCCACCAGCTTCAATTATTATTAATGTGAGGCCAGTACCGTTTTTTCCGTTCCTTCCAGTCCCTTTTCTCCCTCGGGTTGTTTTGAGCAAATCCTACCCATCATTTCCTTTTACTGTAAGAATTAAAAAAAAAATTATAGCCACAGCAGTATATCAGACCTTTAAAAAAACATAATTCCTGGGGTGCCTGGGTGGCTCAGTCGTTAGGCGTCTGCCTTCGGCTCAGGTCGTGATCTCAGGGTCCTGGGATCGAGCCCCGCATCAGGGTCCTGGCTCCGCGGGAAGCCTGCTTCTCCCTCTCCCACTCCCCCTGCTTGTGTTCCCTCTCTCGCTGTTTCTCTCTATCAAATAAATAAAATCTTAAAAAAAAAACATAATTCCTTAATACCAAGTCATTGTCTCCCTCCCTTGTTCCTCAATATTTCTTTTCACAGTTGGTTTGTTTGAACTGGGATCTCAGGGGGCGTTGAGTTCATGTGTCTGCAAGCCTCCCTCTCTGTCTAGTGAGGTGAAATTCGCATGACATGAAATCAACCATCCCAAAGCGGACAATTCAGCAACGTGTACACGCACGATGCTGCGTAACCATCACTTCCATCTCGGTTCAGACGGAGTCAGGCACCCTCAACCGAGACCCCATCCCCATTCTCCCCCCTCTGCACTACATCAGCCGCTGCTCACTGCTCGTTCCTTCGTGGGTGATGGTCAGGCATCTCTGGTCTCTATCACCTTCCTCACGAAGCATCGCTCGATGTTACCCATTTTACCAAAGGATGTCTTCCGGTTTCCCAAGCTCCCATATGGCAGCCTGAGGGTCACCTCTTTCCACTCGGGCCAATCAATGACATTTCCTAAGTATGTCTCAAAATGTCCCTTTTTCTCTATCTTCACGCCTCCATCCCCTGCTCAGCCTGCTGTCACCTTGCACTTTAATTCCTCCCACCGTCTCCTAGCTGTGGAGGGGGCAGAGCAGTTTCAAACGGTGCAAAGCACTTCGGACTTCAGCACGGCTTAGAGCCCTGAGATCCAGACTCTTGTGCTCTCTGCACCTTAGCTGGGCACCTCCCCTCTCCGCTGGGAATCCTGAGTTTTCTTTTCATTTTTTTTATTTTTGGGGGGGAATCCTGAGTTTTCTTAAGGTTGCAGTCCCCCACAGAGATCACCAGGGAACTCCGTGGATCACACAAATCTGGGTTTCATAAACTCGCTGAGCAAGGGGGAGCACCACCTGGACAGCATCTCAGTCGTGCCTTAATGGGGGAAGTTAGGGGAAGTACTTCTGGGGTTTCGTGAGCTGTGATTAGTTCACAGCGGCTTTAGGGTGATAGAAAGCATGGTTGGAATTTACAAACGAGGCCAGTAGTGAGTGGTTTTAACTTTGGAACCCATGAGTCCTTGTAGAGTTACTTTTTCTTTTTAAGATTTATTTATTTATTTGGGAGAGAGAGAGAGAGTACATGAGCAGGGGGAAGGACTGAGGGAGAGAAATCTTAAGCAGACTCCCTGCTGAGGATTAAATTCTTTTATTTTCTATCTTCAATTTCTCTTGCTGACTTTTCCTATGTAAACATGCTCAAGACTCTCATTATAAAAAAAAAAAATGGAAAGAAAATCCTCCCTTTATTCTAAATGACTCTCAAGCTCCCCTCTTTCCTGCCTTTCGATGTTAAACAGCTATGGAGTGGTGTCGACATCGTAGACTCCCTTCGCTGACTGCTCTTCTGCCCAGCCCACCCCCCACTCCCGATTCCTGCTCTCACCCTCCCCTGGGATCCTTCCTGCCAAGGTCACCAATGGATTCGCAACGGACTCTTCCAGAGGACGCTCTTCATCCTTCTGCTCCAGAAGGGCTCAGCCCCCTTCCATGCCGACCATCCATTGCTGCTGCAACATCTTCTTCCTGGGGCCCTCACGAGGCCACACTTTTTCCTCCTGTGTCTGCTCTGTTCCAGTCTCCCTGTGGTCTGCTTGTCCCCTTACATGTTGGTGTTTGGGTAAGGGTGCCCCTAGGCTCTCGGCACCACACACACAAAGACACCTGTCTCCTCTCATGGTCTCGCTTAACCGCCAACACGTGATGACCATGACATCCATCTCTCTGCCCCAAATTTTCTTACTGAGCTACAGATCGCCACCGACATCTCGGAGCTCACGTGTGCACATAAAAGCTCTTCATCTTCCAGCAGAAAAGCGTTCTTTTTGTAATCCTGAACTCACAGAACAGAACAGTGTATCAGTTCCAGTTTCCCGAGCCCCCAGCCCAGCAACCCGGGTGTCATCCTTGACTCCTTCCTGTCCTCTGCACAATCAACCACCAAGTCCTGCCAAGGACTGTTGACATCTCTCCAATTAGTGCTCTTTTCTCTGCACACCTGCCCAATTCCCTGGCTCGGGCTAGAATGCCTGGCCATTCTGCTGTTCCTCGTCTCCCCCAGCCCGCCCCGCCTCCCCCCCATCACCCAGTTCCTGATAACACCAGCGGAGAGCGGAGGAATGACTGGGTGGATGGTTTTAATTGCAGTTGTCCATGTGTTGCTCATTTTCTCCCACCCTCCATTCTGGCTCCTGAGGGGTTCATCTGTTGGGGAGCACTCAGAACTGGTGAGGTGGGTGACAAGCTCTGGCCAGGAACCTACGAAGTAGCTACTCTCCCCAGGTTGGGGGTGTTGGGGGGCAAAAGGAGGGATCCTGGAAGAGAGAAGGCTCAGGAACGAGGGGTCCAGGGGCTGTGCCAGATGGGGTCAGGGTTGGGGGTCAGCACATGGACACATCCTGGGCCCAGGGGAGGGAAGGGGTGAGATTGCAACTGGGGACATGGGAGCCCACAGAAGAAGGAATCAGGCAGCAGGCTCCCCTCTCCTCCCGGGCCTGAGGTCCAGGTGGGCCTGGCCACAAGGGCTGCAGCTGAAGGCAGAGGCGCCCCGAGCCTCGGTGAGACTGAGCCCAGTGGGAGCTACAGGGGCGTGGAGCCAGGTGATCGGAGTAGAAAGGCACAAAGAAAGTGTCCAGTCTGAGAAAGAGAGTTTATTGCCGTCTGGAGGTTGCAGAGCCTCCGGTCCAAAAGTCCCCAGCCTCCCCATGCACGTGGAAGCCACCCGTCAGAGTCACTGCCACCTTCTCAAGGACGAGCCCGGCCGGGCCTGGCCTGCGGCTCTTCGGCGCACAGAGGCGGGCTGCATCCAGAGACCTGGCACCTGGCCCCTTTGGGGTGGGGGGGAGCCCTAGGCTTGATGGGGGTTGGTGACTTTGCCCCAGAAGAGGATGTTCTTGGTATCTTTGTGGCGTATGGACAGAAGAAAGGGTCTGTTGAAACGCACAGTGATCAGTGGGCCAATTTTTCCGGACAACAAAATAATTTTACTTCCCGTGGCGGCCGCGGCTTCCGTGCCCTCCTCGGCCACATCGAGCAAGGTCTTGTGGACCACCTGTGGGGACACGAGAGCGTTACCCACCGGATCCCGGTGGGCGAGGGGTGAGCGGCCCACCTGAGAGCCCCGAGGGGACTGCCATTCACGCAGCCTGGACCCCGGGCTATCGCTGATTGGTGGGTTTGTTCCTCCTGACGACCCTGTCAGCGGTCCTGCATGGTTCCGATGCACAGAAACACAGACTGAGGCTCCAAGGCTGCGAGGGGTCTCCCCAGGATCATGGAGATAAAGGGGAAGGGCACCCTGATCTGGATGCCTCTCTGAGTCCAGACACTGTGCTGCCCCCCAAACACTCGCTAATGGAGGGGGGCAGGGGCCACACGGGGCATCTGTCTTGCAAGCGAGTTTCTGGCAGCCTCTCTGCCTTGAAGCAGCTGCTGCAGACGCTGCCGCGGACCCGAAGGGCCCCACTGCTCTCAGCCCCACTCCTGCCCCATCTGCAATGTCCTCGGGATCCTTGGCGACTTTGCATAGATGTGGCTTCACATCCCTGGACCCACCCCATAGGCCCCTCTGCCCCTCCCTCCATGACCATGCCCTTTGGAAGGTGGGGCGCAGAGGGGGGCAGAGGGCTGCTCAGACACCCTGCTTCGTTCAGAGGACCTTGTTTCCAGGGGCGCAGTGCAAGGGGCCCTCTATCCTTCTTTCACACCCATCACAACTGCCCCATGGTTGTTACGACCCGGTGCCCCTCCCCTACACCTCCAGGCACTGCACATTGACCAAGACCTATCACCCCCATTTTACAGGAGAACGGAGGGGTCCGGCTCTTTCAGTATTTGCTGCTGTAGGTGGTAAAAGGTGGAGTGTGGATGGGATGGGGCCCATCCCTGATTCCACCCCAGGCTCTTCCCCACGAGTGGCTTCTGTGTCACAGTATATTGCAGGGGAGGTGGGGACCAGCTTCCAAAGTGCTTGCCACCCAGCTCTCCTGGGCTTGGGGCAGAACCCCGAGGGGGACAGGGTAATGAGAGATGCCTTACTCCTGCAAATTCAAGGTCACCCAAATGTCTGCCTGGCCTCTTAACCATTCAAGCTCAGATACAGAGGATGAACGATCTAAAATTTAAACACTCACCTGGGATATTGCCAGGTTCTTCTCCCCTGTGACTCCTGACAGGTCGGCCTGGTTGGTGAAGACTTCCCTCATGCCCAGCTGGGGAAGCACGTCTTCCAGATTATAGCTGCTGGAGATGGAAAACTTTGGCAGGTAGAGGTTGTCTATGCTCCTAGGAAAGGAGAAACATGAATTTGAACAACTGCTTGACTCAAGGCTCACCTTCTCCCCACTCCCGGCATGGTCTTCCCTGGTTTCCTTTCTAACCACCCCTTTCTTGCTGGAAAGAAGGACTCATTTCCTCAGTTTCTTGACCCCTTGTCAAGGGGCAGGAGCGGGGCTGAGAGCAGTGGGGCCCTTCGGGTCCGCGGTGGCGTCTGCCACAGCTGCTTCAAGGCAGACCCCTTGTGCTGACTCTTCTTAATTCATTAATTATCAATTCACATCGGCAAGCGCCCACGTGTGCTGGTGCCTGCCCCGCTCCTCCCCTGCAGCAGGAAACACCTTCTCTCCAACAGGGAATTCCACAGCATGCTCCACAGGCACCAGGAAGGCTTCCTGTAGGAGGCGGCATCAAGCCTGAGTCCTGAAGGAGGGGAAGGAGTTGGCTGGGCGAAGAGGAGAGCAGGAGGCAGGAGATGAATTTGCAGAAAGGCAAGAAGAAAGAGGGGATGCTCCACAGAGTGGAGGGAAGGCTTAGTGTTGGGGATGGGGCAGGGGCTGAAGGGACTGCATTCGAAGGTCCTGGGGAATCCTGAAACCAGCAATGGAAGGTCCCCATCTTGGCCGTCTGGTGAGCTCCTTGAGAGCAGGGGGTTCTGCTTCTGAGCAGAGCTGCTGGTGAGTTCTTGGAGCAAGAGTGGATACCTCCCACCCGCAAGCCTCCCTCTCTCTCTGTTTATATCCCTAAGACTTTTGTCACGGTCTGCCTGGTTTCACACTTGCCAGCTACGAGGAGGCCGTGTCTCCCAATAAACCTTGAGTCCCACCGGCAGGGAAGATGTCTGTTTCTCTCCATATTCATTCATTCACGCATCCATCCATTCACTCAACAAATATTTATTGAGCACCCACCACGGGCTAGGAATGTGTTATGGCAGATTTCCTCAGTGCTTTGTAAATCAGAGATGTGTGATGAATATTCTATCCATTCACAACGAATCATCAAGCCCCGGCCAGTTGATAGCTAGAACTGTCTCCCCATGTCCCCACCCTCAAGGACCAGGCCCAGAACTCACTCTGCCTTGCTTGTCCCCCTTGACATTAGTCTTCTGAATTCCATATTCTAGCCTGTCTCTACCCTCAGGTTTATCTGACACTTGACCACCTCTCACACGTCTCGCCTGGATCGCTGCCCTGGGTTCCTAGCTGGTCGTCCTGCCTCCATGCTTGTCCTCCGTGGTCTGTTCTCCACTCAGCCTCCTGGGTGATCTTTTTAAAACAATACTCAGATCATCCACTCTTTGGCCCAAGACCTCGAGATGATTCCCCATTTCACTTAGAGGAGGAAGAGGCAAGGTTTTCCAGGGGTTTGCATGGCCCTGCTCAACCTGAGCCATCCCGCGGGGCCCCCTGACTTCTCCTGACTCACGCTGCTCTAGCCTCTGTCGCCTCACTAATCCTCAAACACACCGGGCTTTGCACAGAGGCTTTGAACTGGCTGTTCCCTCTGCCAACAATGCTTTTCCCTAACCTATCCACAGGGCTCGGCCCCTCACCTCTATCCTGTCAACGCTCAAATACCACCTAATGGCGATCCTATTTAAAACCACTAACTACCTCCTCGTTGGTCCAGTTTTCCTAATCATTTTATCCCGCTCTATCATCCACCCCCCACCCTCATTTCTTAACATCCAACATACTAAATAATTGACCTATTTGTTATATTTATCTATTTTCTCATTTTCCAATGACAAAGTAAGCTCCCCGAGGGCAGGGGATTTATGTTTTATTTGCGGACATGCCCTGCGGGTCTCAATCAGTGCCTGGCACCTACTAGATGCTCCATCAATCTACGTGACCCATGCCCAATGGATGAATGGATAACTGAATGAATGAAACAGCCAGCGCAAAGCGGGTGCTTGGAGCCCCTCTTGCTTTGGCCTTCCGCTGATCGCAGTCCCATCTGTGCCCTCTGCCGTCTAGAGGTCGAGACAAGGAGAGGACAGGCGTGAGGGCTGGGTTGTGTTGAGGAGTCCCCAGAACCTGAGCATGTTCGCGTCAGACGCAGCTTCCACCCCTGTCCCGTTCAAGGTCATTGTGTCTCATAGAGCAAACACTTTCGGCCCCAAAGCTACGCGGGCAGCCAAGGGCAGGGAGACCCCGAGCTCCACCTGCGCTGGGATGGCTTGCCCAGCACTGCAGCCTCGGCCCCCGACATCAGGGAGGCCCTGGGTGCTGGGGGTGTGGGGAGTCCGGGGGCGGGGAGAGGGGAGCGGGCGGGGCTGAGGAGGGAGGAAGGAGGGCGAGCTGCATCCCGGGGTGGTCACCTCATCTGCAGTGAGTCTGTCCACCTCCTCAGCGTCTCTGGGAGCAGCGCAGCCTCCACGGCCTCCATTCTGCCCTCGTCGGGGAGGATGAAGAGCACGCTGCCGACATTCATGTATTGGAGCTCCACCAGCGTGCAGGCCAGCGCCTCATCTCGGAAGTAAGGCACCCGCACGTCCTCCAGGCTCATCATGGCCACCTTCACCGACCTCCTCTTGCTCACGTAGAACTTGGACTTGAAAGTATCTCGGGGGTCAAAGGGGGTCTTCCATTTGGCTGAAGGTCAGAGAACTCTGTGAACACAAGGGCCGTCCTGCCTCTACCCCTTCTCCGCCCGGTTCCCTGGCTGATGGAGACACTGGGCGCCACCGGCCCCGCCTTGGTCTGCAGGAGCACGCTGCCAAGTGGCTCGGCTGCCGGGGATGGGGGGGAGCCCCACAGGCCGGGTTGGTGTAAGCGAGAGACCGACAGGAGTTTGGAGTAGTGGGTGCAAGAGAGAGGTGGGGGCCAGGGAGAGACGGGAGAGGGGACCGGGAGCGCTGTGGGAGGCGGCAGCAGGGGGAGGAATGGGGAATCCCTCACCCCCTAAAAGGAACAATGCTAGTAACTCACAATTAGTCATTGGCATTACAAGGTACACACGCCCACAGACTCGTCAAGTCACCTGAGGGTGGGATAGAGGTCGACCGAGGAGAGGGGGACATAGGGCTCCATCCCCAGGAGGACAGGAGCCTTCAGTGGGGTGGGGGCAGAGGGGGGGTGCTCCTGGGGGAGACTAGAGAGTAGGGGCTTGCTGGGAAATGTGCAGATAAACTAGCCCCCTCCATTGGAGGCAGGAGAGGAGGGGAAAGCCGGGCCAGCCAGTGTGTCCCTGGGGAGGAGAATTTGGAGGAGAAAATCCTAGGACAGGCAGGTGGTAGGAGGGGAAAATCAGGAGACACAAAGAACAACCAGCACATCGGGCCTGGATTAGTTTTACAAAGAAATCTGGTTCTGGACCTTCATCTGCAGCTGGAAACACAGGCCCGGGAGGATTTGCCCCAAGATTCAGCCAGAGCCTCTAGTGCAGGCTTCCTGTGTCTCCACCCAGCTCCTAATCACCCCCTGACTCCATGATGCCTCTTTGGATCTTTGTCTAATTTTTGTGCCTGGAAGAACTGCGGCTCCACAGGGCCGACTCTCTTTGCACTCTGCCTCTTCAGACTTACGGGCTGCAGAGGTTTCTGTTTGTCATGTTCCTACCCATGGAACCAGGCACTGGACCAGCTGGAACCTGGGAATGCGGTCTGTCTTGGATCTTGCCCTCCCCCAAGGTCCTTCCCCATATGGTGACCCTGCTGGTACCACCCCCAAGATGATAGGGGGGCACCGTTGCAGAACCCTGGGATGGCCAGGCTCCTTAGATGCTGTCTTCCTGTGTAGACGGGACCCCCCCACCCCCAGGGCCTGAGTCCCTGGCCAGGACAGAGCCCAGGTCAGAATGGCCCGGCTGTGCCCAGGTAGAGGACTTCCTGAGCCTGCCCACAGGCATCTCTTCAGGGAGGAAGCTGAAGCTCCTGCCCACCCTGGAACAATTTGAAGGGACCACTCCTTCCCCCTGGGAGCCAGGCAAGTTTGAGTCAGGGTAAAAAGTGCCACTCTCACTCAAAGGGTGGCTGGGCCCCTCTGCGGTGACTTCCTACAGTGGCAAAGCGTCCTTTGGAAAACCCTAAGACTAAGAGGCAACCCATTTTTGCAAATGACACTACAGATAAAGCGCTGGTATCCAAGATCTACAAAGGACTTCTCAAACTCAACACCCAAAAAACAAATAATCAAGTCAAAAAGTGGGCAGAAGATATGAAAAGACACTTCTCCAAAGAAGACATACAAATGGCTAACAGACACATGAAAACATGTCCATCATCACTAGCCATCAGGGAAATTCAAATCAAAACCATATTGAGATACCACCTTGCACCAGTTAGAATGGCAAAAATTAACAAGGCAGGAAACAACAAATGTTGGTGAGGATGAGGAGAAAGCGGAACCCTCTTACACTGTTGGTGGGAATGCAAACTGGTGCAGCCAGTCTGGAAAACAGTGTGGAGCTTCCTCAAAAAGCTAAAAATAGAGCTACCCTATGACCCAGCAATTGTACTACTGGGTATTTACCCCAAAGATACAGGTGTAGTGAAAAGAAGGGCCATATGCACCCCAATGTTCATAGCAGCAATGTCCACAATAGCCAAATGTGGAAGGAGCCGAGATGCCCTTCAACAGATGAATGGATAAAGAAGATGTGGTTCATATACACATGGAATATCACTCAGCCATCAGAAAGGATGAATACCCACCATTTGCATCGACATGGATAGAACTGGAGGGGATTATGCTAAGTAAGTCAAGCGGAGAAAGACAATTATCACATGGTTTCACTCATATGTGGAACACAAGGAATAGCATGGAGGACCATAGGGGAAGGGAGGGAAATCAGAGAGGGAGAAAAACCATGAGAGACTCTGGACTCTGGGAAACAAACTGAGGGTTACAGAAGGGAGGGGGATGGGGGGATGTGGTAATGGGGTGATGGGTATTAAGGAGGACACGTATTGCATGGAGCACTGGGTGTTATACGCAACTAATGAATCATTGAACACTACATCAAAGCAATGTCCACAATAGCCAAATTATGGAAAGAGCCAAGATGTCCATCAACAGATGAATGGATAAAGAAGATGTGGTGTATATATATATATATATGTGTGTGTGTATATATATA